CCCCCCACCCCCTCCCTGCTGATAACCCTCCAGGGGATTTCTATTTCTGTGATTCTGTTACTGTTCTAGTTGTTTGCTTAGTTTGTTTTTTACATAGTTGTGAGTTTGTCGTTATTTTACTGTACATGTTTTCAATGTTCTTCTTTTTCTTAGATAAATAATTTTAACATTTCCTATAATAAGGGCTTGGTGATGAACTCCTTTTAACTTGACCTTATCTGGGAAGCACTTTGTCTGCCCTGCCATTCTAAATAATAACTTTGCTGGATAGAGTAACCTTGGATGTAGGTCCTTGCCACTGATGACTTCAAATACTTTCTGCCCCTTCTTGCCTGCAAGGTCTCTTTTGAGAAATCACTTGATAGTCTGATGGGAACTCCTTTGTAGGTAACTGTCTCCTTTTCTCTTGCTGCTTTTAAGATTCATTTTTAATCTTGAGTAATATAATTATGATGTGCCTTGTTGTGTTCCTCCTTGGCTCCATCTTCTTTGGGACTGTCTGAGCTTCCTGGACTTCCTGGAAGTCTATTTCTTCACCAGATTGAGAGAGTTCTTTTTCATTAGTTTTCAAGTAAGTTTTCAATTTCTTCATCTTCCTCTTCTCCTTCTGGCACTTCTATGATTTGGATGTTGGAATGTTTAAAGTTGTCCCAGAGGTTCCTAAGCCTCTGCTGATTTTTTTTTTTAATTCCTGTTTATTCATTCTGTTCTGGTTGAATGTTTATTTCTTCCTTTTGTTCCAAATCATTGATTTGAGTCTCAGCTTCCTTCCCTTCACTGTTGGTTCCCTGTATATTTTCCTTTATTTCACTTTGTATACCCTTCACTTCTTCCTCTACTTTACATCCATACTCAATCATTTCTGTGACCATCCTGATTACCAGTGTTTTGAACTCTGTATCTGATAGGTTTGCTATTTCCATGTCACTCAGTTATTTTTCTGGAGTTTTGATCTGTTCATTCATTTGGGCCATATTTCTTTGTGTTGGTGCATCTGTTAGTAGTAAGGGGTAGAACCTTAGCTATTTGCCAGGGTGGAGCAACCCACTTTGTTGTACTGTGATGCTGTGTGTGTGGGAGGGGTCCGAGAGAGAAGAATGCTGGTTGCTCTGCTCTCACCCACTTTCAGTCAATTTCTTCCATACCCACAAGCGAATAGGGCCCATTCTGGTGCTGATTCCTGGGTGGGTGGACTTGTGCATGTTCTAGGACCCTGTGGGTCTCTCCAATAAACTCTCCTGCCATAAACCCCACAGGTTTTTACAACCAAAGGTTTTAAGGCTGTGGTTTCCCACCCTGAAACCCTGGGTTACTTGGTCTGTCTCACTCCCCAGTTGTTCCTGCCAGTTTATCTGCATGTGAATGTGGGACCAACCGGTCCACCAGCTGCTACCTTGCCCACCTGGTCTGTCCCCTTGCTGCATATCCTCTCCCCTTGACTTGCCATCTCTGTCCTTTCTACCAGTAGTAAATGAATGCTTCTTCTTTAACTCCTTGGCTGTTGGACTTCCATACAGTTTGAATTTCTGGCAGTTCTGGTTGTTTTTTTGTTTTTAAATTTGTTGTCCTTCTTTTGGTTATGTGAGGAAGCAAAGTGTATCTACCTACATCTCCATCTTATATGCATAGTGTTTATAATTAGAAAACTGAAATCAACTGAAATGATCACTGATGGGGACTGATTAAATAAAGTACATCCATATGATAAAAGAGCATGCAGCCACTAAAAAGAATATGATAAATCCATCGGTACTCATATGCAAATAAATTTTAAGAAATTATGGTTTTGAATGGACTTATATAGACAGTATACCATAAACTATATATAATACAATCCCACTTGTGTTTTAAAAAACATTGTTTAGCTAGTCATCCAAGGATTCTGGCATGACAGACTGCAAAATGTTAATAGTGAAGTCAGAATTTTTATTTTTTACAGGTTTTTGAAATATCTGAGTATTTTCAATATGAAACATTTAACATTTACTAATAGTGAACATGAAAACAAGTGAGATAAATAAAATTATTCCTGGAAAGATCACTCATCTTCTAGATCTTCACTGTCCAATAAAATAGCCTAGTGAGACTATGAAGCATTTGATGTTATCTGTTGTAATCGAGATACAGATATATACTGAAAGATAAAATATACACCAGCCAGTGTATATTCGGAGGACTGAGCATTAAAAAAGAACATAAAATGTCAATTAATATTTTTATATTGATCACATGTTAAAATAATTGATTTACTGTATTAAATAAAAATACTTTTAGTCCTGCCTGGTGTGGCTCAGTAGACTGAACACTGGCTTGGCAAGCCGAAGGGTCACTGGTTCCATTCTCAGTCAGGGCATATGCCTGGCTTACTGGCCAGGTCCCCAGTATAGGGCCCATGAGAGGTAACCACATATTGATGTTTCTCTCCCTCTTTTATTCCCTCCCTTCCTCTATCTAAAAAAATAAACAAAATATTTAAAAAATATATAGTATTAAAATTAACTTCATTTGTTTCTTTTTAGTTTTTTTACATATATAACTCACTATATTTACACTGGACAATGCTGTTCTGAACAAAGATAGAAAAAGGGAGCTAATGAATTGCTCTGGCATTATTTTTAGTGAAATTTATAAATGTGTTTTTCTCAGAGACTTTCAGAATCTTTCTACCAAATATTTTAATTAAAAAACAAATGGTCATAGTTAAAAAGGAAGAAATTAAAAGGATATTATATTCAAAAGATCCAAAATGCCTTGTGTTTTATTTAGAATTTTTATCTCCAAAAAATTGCACAACTTGTGGGAGGATGTGGGACTTTGCTTTGCTTGGAATTCAAACAAGGCTCCTAAATTTCTAAGTTGCTAAAAATTTTGTGTATTAGTTCTTAGAAACTAGGAGTCCTTAGATTAGAGTCTAATTTTGCTTATTTCTTATTTTCTTTTGCATAAAATTTTAATTTTTTATAACATTACTGATTATACTTCATCAGGGCTCTATTTAAATAGGTACAAGTTCATACAAAGAGCAGGTTCTGCCTTTAATAATGGGTACTCAGACAGAAAGCACTGAAAGATAAATGTAAAACCATTTATAAAATTACTACTTTCATTACATTTCCCACAATGACACTCTTCCATCACTTGTAATTAGGCAAATTATTTAATTATATTCAATAACATGTTAAACTACTATTAAAAATTATCCAAGTATTTTTACCCAGACACAATATACTGTAAACCAAGAATATGTGACATTCCTCCAATCTATCTGTTAGTGTTACAAATAAGAAATTGTACAAATTGTATAAATTTTGCACAACTGTATAAATTGTGCAAAAAAGGTTAATATTATAGTACAGTAACCCAAATGGAAGAAAATCCTTTCATACAGCCTCTCTTTGGTATTAGTGTCCAGTTACTACATGCATTGGAAGGAGGTAGTTTTCAAATTTCTTTCTCTAAAAAGAATCTCTTATATCAAAAAGGGATGAATATCTACTATATATAAAATATATGCTTGGAAAACTGCCATGTTAGGACTGCATCATTCTATTACTAATTCAATACATATTTATTATTTCTTCAACAAGGAAGGCATTCTACTAAATATATGTAAAATATATAAATTAAAAACAGATATAGATCTTGCCAATAAATAGCTTACAGTACAATAGAGATGAGAAGTTGGCTTATCAACAAGAAAGTACATAAAACATAGGGTCAATAGTTCTAAGCCAGAAAAGTAGACAGTTTAGTTAAGAGAAGTTTCAGAATATGTCCTTCATGACCAATGATGACAACACTAACTTTTCCCTTTAAAAGAGGGAGAAAATTCAAATTTGTTCACTAGTTCAATATATGCTTTTATAATTCCATAACATGGACCACTGGTAAGGGCAAAAATGAAAATAAACTATAAGGAAAATTTTGCTTTTCTTCTTCATCAGTGGAAATATTTGTATATTTTTATTTAATTGCATTCTTTATTTCTCTTAACAGAAATATTTACATGATTCTGTATTGGATACTTAGAAAAAATATATACAGGCGAAACAAAAGGCATAATTCCTTGTACTACATTCAGGTCCAAGAAAACAAAACTCAGAATAGATATATTCAAGCAAATTTCCCAACTTATGTCATCTTAGCATGAGATTAGATCATATTTATTATAGTATGTACATAAATGAATTGTTTCCAATTAACAAAAAAGAGCTAACGTATAATCCTGTGGAATGTTTACTAAACACCAGGCAGTGTTCTAAGTGCTTTAAAAACATTAATTTTTAATCTTTATACAAATAAAGTAGGTATTTTATTTCACTTGAGAGACGAAAAATAGAGATACAGAAAAGCTAAGTAATTAGACCAAGAGTCACACAACTGATGCAGAGAAGAGCATTCCAACTCAGCCCACCTCTCTGCATAATCAGGCTCTACTTACCACAGCAGTACACGCATCTACTGTAAACATGCTATATCCAAAGCCTTTAATTCTAACGCATCAAAAGAAAAGGTCTCTATTTTATACCTAGAAGAAGCATTTCTAAGAGTAGATATTTAGAAATGTTTTTTTTAAATAAATTAACAGTTCAGAATTTTAAAGTGGAGGGAGGCTTCACAGAGAAGGCATTCATTTTAGGAGACAGATAACTAAATGCATATTTAATTCATTAATTTTTCTCAACTTTAATGATGAATTTACCAGCCAAAAGAGTTTGGTGTTTACTTTTAAATCTCTAAAATCATGACTAGCTAAAATAAGCTTTTAAAAACAGGTTGACATCACTTAAAATGCAATTTATAATATAGCAAAATTAAACACAGTAATAACTTAGAATTAGCTATTGAGTTAGTTGCTCATTTCTTTGCTTTCACTTAGCATTGATCTAACTCAATGTGAAAGGTTACATTCGTACAAGTTTACACAACTTAATGATTAACTACATGTACCTGTCAACCTGACCCATTCATGTGGCAAATAGTGGTATATATAGGGTTTAGAAATCTAGGTCTGCTTACAGGAGATAATCAGTCCAAAGTTGCTTAAAATTGAATACTTAAGATAAAAATGTACACGATTAAGCTCTTTCTGTTTATTGTTCCTCTAGTTATTTCTTCCAGAATTGACCAAGACTATCCATCACTTGGTTCTATGTCTTCACAGTCAAACTCAAGATTTGCTATGTTAGATGATGTAAAAATTTTAGCCAATGGCCTTCTCCAGCTGGGACATAGTCTTAAAGACTTTGTCCATAAGACTAAGGGCCAAATTAATGACATATTTCAAAAACTCAACATATTTGATCAGTCTTTTTATGATCTATCACTGCAAACTAATGAAATCAAAGAAGAAGAAAAGAAACTTAGAAACACTACATCCAAACTGCAAGTCAAAAATGAAGAAGTGAAGAATATGTCACTTGAACTCAATTTAAAACTTGAAAATGTCCTAGAAGAAAAAGTTCTACTTCAACAAAAAGTGAGGTATTTGGAGGAGCAATTAACTAATTTAATTAAAAGTCAACCTGAAATTCAGGAACACCCAGAAGTAACTTCACTTAAGGTAAGTAGAAACCAGAAGTGTTCATGATTATGTTTCAATGTGGATTTAAAAAAAAATATTTTAAGACACGCTCCTTTACTTTGTTGTACAGGTGAAATACTTTATATTTTTTAAAGAAAAAAAGCCTCTAGGAAATAAAACTTTCCATTATAATTTTAAGTTAGTTTTTGTTTCCCTTACATATATGGAAGCAACTAAACTTTACATTTCAGATGAAAACTGTAACTCAGTTAAATAATAAAATATAGAACACAGTATTGCAAATCATTGGAGGTAAGTAAAATGTTAAAGGACTGTAACTTGAAGCTATTCCATGTTTGAAATAAATAAAATATAATAAATGGTAAAGATTTATTCCTATTAAAATAGTGGGGCTTTTTCATTTAATTGAAATAGTTGAAAGTTCAGGAAACCAATTTTATAGATGGCATACTTCAAATGAAACATAAAAACAAAGGTATGTACTATTTGAAAGACATATACAAGAGAAAAATAATTACCAATATTCATTTTTCTAATATACTGTTAGCTTTAAAAAAATTAGACTGTGATACAGTCAGGGCACATGCCTGGGTTGCAGGCCAGTTCCCAGCAGCGGACACACGAGAGGCAACCATACATTGATATTTCTCTCCCTATCTCCTTCCCTTCCCCTTTAAAGATAAATAAATAAAATCTTAAAAAAAAATTAGACTGTGATAATGTTGTAAGAAATTTAAAAAGTCTAATTTAACAAAAATGAAAGAAAAAAAACCTTCTAACCAAGGCTACAACCTATGTCCAGGCTTTTGTACAACAGCAAGATAACAGCATCAAAGACCTTCTCCAGACCGTGGAAGAACAATATAGACAATTAAATCAACAGCACGATCAAATAAAAGAAATACAAAATCAGGTAAGTCAATATTTTAATGGTATATCCAATATTTCACGTAAAATTTAGGTTTATAAAAACACTGAACCCTGAAATTATTTTAAATAATTATAGCTGAATAGTGAATAAAATGATCACATCAGCATCATTGCTGTGCTTGCAGGCTCTGAAACTAATAAATTTACCAGGATTTGAATCCTGACTCTAAAACTTTTGTACGGCCTTGAAAATTACTTAACCCCTCTGTCTCTCACTTACCTCACTTACTCTATGAAGACATTAAGAAGAATCTTATAGGATTGTTGTGAGAAAAAAAGAATTTATTCATGTAATATACATCCTCGATATAGCAGCCAAAGTGATTATGTTAATTTAAATTAGACCACATCTCTCTTGGTTCAAAACCCTACAATGGCTTCCCATCTCGCACTTGCCTGTGAGGTCCCAGAAGACCCTTGATTGTCTCGCTGACTTCACCTCTTCTACTCTAGGTATACAAGTCTCTTCACTGTTACTGAAAAACATCAAACACACTGCCATCTCAGGGCCTTTGCCTTGCTGTTCCCTGTCTGGAATGGCCCTCTCCCTGGTTCTGCATGGCCACTCTCATTTCCTTTTGGTCTTTCTCAAATACAGAATTCTCAAAGGAGTCTTCTCAAGTGACACCTGCCACCTCCTTCCCTACTCTCTTTTTCCCCTTAGCACTTTACAGCTATTTAACATAATATACATTTAGTTATTTATCTTGTCTGTCCCTGCAGTAGTATGTAAGCTCCTTGAGTACAGGGATTTTCTTCCATTTTCTAAAACGCCTTGCCCCAGAACATAGCATACTGTCTGACACTTAGCAGCCACTTAGTAAGTACATGTTGAATTAATAAAGGTATTTTTCAGCACAAAAACTCAATAAAAACTTATTATTATTATTATTATTGTTGAAAGCTGTGTACCTGATAATTAAGTTTAATTCCCAACAATAAAATTAACCCATGATGTAAACAATGGGCTAGGTAAAGCTGTCAGAATCTATGCATTATAATATACAGGGTTTGGCACAAATAATGTCCCACTTTTATTACAAAATCTAAAATCATAAGGATGTAATTCTGTAATATAACAGTATCACACTCAAGCATAGCATTTAACATTTTAGGTGAACTGTTCAAATTAAAACTATAAATTATTACACCCATATTATTACTTTACTAACCCATATTATTACTTTACTCAAGTAAGCATTACTTCTACCAACCTATGTATAGTATAGTTCAAAATATCAATTAATAATACTATTAAATAGTCACTCAAGAAGGTTTCAAAAGTAACATAGACTTGGAGAAGTTGGTAAAAAAATAGTTGTCAAGAATCGTAAAACAAATAGTATTACCAATCCCCAGTAAACAAATGTATTGTTATATATTTCAGTAATTTTGTGATTCATAATTTCAGTAGGTTATTTTTGCTAATTTAGGAATCAATTTAGTAGGTTACTTCTGTTAATTGTCCAAAACATGTTTGCCAAGTAGTCTGATTTCCATAATTTTATTCTTATCGTACGTTATTTTTCTAAATTCTATTCCCTATATCTTTTATTATAATTAAATAAACCTGCTCACAAATGTAAAATGTCATCATTAGAAAATGATATACATCTAATAATAAAATGTATGAAGAATTCATATAATGAATTTCTAAGTTGGCAAAAGCCTTAGATCATCTGATCCAACTTTGTCATGTTTAAATGAAGAAACAAAAACTATAAAAGTTAAAAACCTTAAGATCACAGTTACTTAGTACAAAAGATTGATGCCCAGTAAATAAACTTTACAACAGATCCTTGTGAATTAGGTTCTATGAAACGCCATTTATGCTAATATCAAAAAGCTAATACTAATAACACAAGATATTAAATACATACTCCATTTTTCTCAATCCATAAGAAAAACTATCGGCCAACAAATTACAATCCTGGAACATTTTAAGTAAAAAGAAACTGTTATTGCTAAACTAACAGACAATGATATATTGAACGTTTTGAAAGTAAGTAAATAAATCTTCCCATTTGTTACCTTTACCACTGTTTACATGTCCAACACTATCAAGAAAGCAGCCATAGTCAAATCATGTGCTATGTCTTTATGGTAGGTCTGAGAAACAGTAAGAGTAAGACCTACAACTGAGAATTAATAAATTTAAAATCTGCCGTACTACTGAATGCAATATATATTCTACTCATGTAAATAAATAGAACATATTAAAGTATTTATAAATTCTCTGCCTTTGGTCTTGATGTATTTAAACTAATTTGTTTGCCTCACTTTTTCTCTACTTATTAACTCATTAAATAATGTGCCTAATTAAATATTTTGGGAATGGATTATCTGTATAGCATTGTTTATCCTTCTTAAAAATCAAAATCAGTAACACATTATGAACTAAAAAATGCATACAAGTTGTACTTTTAATATCCTCACTCAGATTCCCCCAACTGTATATTCAGTGCCATTTTTAAAAGTAGATTTATATTCTTTTATCAGTTAAGAAGAAGTGGTATTCAAGAATCCATAGAAAGTTCTCTTTCTTCAAAACCAAGAGCACCCAGAACTACTCCCTCTCTTCATTTAAATGAAACAAAAAATGTAGGACATGATGGTAAGACAATTTGGTTTCCTTCTTAAAGCTACTATGAAATTTCTCTTCTATCTTTAACACTCCCATAAAAAAAAAATCCTTATTCTCAGGGCCTTTTCTAGACTAAAAGAGAGTAAAGACACAAAACCACCTAATATAATATCAACCTAAATTGGGTCCTCATGGCTTTTTTTACTCTATAAGACACATTCTTAAGATAATCATGGATATAGAGGTACAGACTTGATATTAGACAATATGAAATTATTAATTTTCCTAGATGTAATACTGCTATTGTAGTCATATAAAAGAATAATGTCATGTTTAAGAGATGCATGGTAAAATATCTCAGAGGTTAAGAGTCATATGTTTGCACATTGCTTTCAAATAGCAAAGCAAAATATGTACTTGTGTATATGTATGTTTATAAAGCAAATATAGCAAAATGTTAATAACTGTGGAATATGTATGGAAAGATTATGGTGTTGTCTTCAATGTTTCTACTTTCTAGTGCTTGAAAATTTTCATAAGAAAAACAAAAAGATGGAGAAACTAGTCTCCATTCCCAACCAAACGTCAACAAAATGATGTACTTACAAAACACATTTATTATCTATGTAATTATACAGAAAAAAAGGTCTCAGTTCCCTCCATGTATTTTTACTCTTCTATATACATCTGTGACACCTTCTATGAGCCAAACATTATAGTAATGTCTTGAATGTGATATTTTATTTATATTCTTCCTACACGTAACAGACAAAGTGCTTCAAATCCTCATTTCATCATGTTTGTTAAAAAGAAATCAGTTTGGTAATAATTACTTTGATATTCTTTGCATAACATGCCACCTAATAAAAAGTTATTTAGCATAAAGTACTTTTTCATTAATATATGAATTTCCGGAAAACATTACTAAAAAGGCTCAAGCTACAGTCATTGTAATTCCATAAAATGTCAAGTAAAATCTTAAGCTCTACAGATATCATTCTTACCACTATATCTTATGTAATAATATTTTGTTGATTCTAGACATGCCTGCTGATTGTACCGCCATTTATAACAAAGGTGAACATACAAGTGGCATCTATCCCATTAGACCCAGCAACTCTCAAGTTTTTAATGTTTACTGTGATATTATATCAGGTAAAACTAGACTATGAAGAAAATGGACAGTAATTATACTATTCACTACCTATTAGTAAGACTGATCCTGTTATCTTTATTCTGAATATACATTATGGACATGAATAGTAGTTATATTGATCTAGTATCTTCATTTGTCTTCATATATTTACTCATTCATATATTCTGTATTTTCCATCTTTTTCTATAAAATAATCTGAAATGACTACTGTCAATAAATTTATTAAGATAAATTCATTAGTTGCCCTTAACTTCTTAGGGCGATAATAAATAAAAATGTTATTACCATAACAACATTAATAACTACTTTACAGAGCCACCAGTGAAAACTAAACCATATAACAGTGTTTTGTTAATCTGTCAGCATAAGTCTACTAAAAATGCACATTTTCATTCACCGTATTCAGGTAATTCATGGACATTAATTCAGCATCGAATAGATGGATCACAAAACTTCAATGAAACTTGGGAAAACTACAGATATGGTTTTGGGCGGCTTGATGGTAAGACTGACTTCATCCATTTATTCACTCATTTACTTGTTAAAAATATGTATTGAAGACTTAAAATGAGCTAGACATTAGGAATACAACAATGAGTGAGAAACAGCCCCAGCCTTCATAATACTTATTAACAAGTTACACATTTATTAGTAATTATAATATTATGTCTTTTTTCTTAAGAATATTTGATTATGCTATTAGTTATCCAATTTTTTTCTCCCCTTTATCCTGTTCCACCTGGTACCCCTATTCCCTTCAACATTCCCCCCAGCTTAGTTCATGTCCATGGGTCATATATGTAAGTGCTTTGGCTTTTCCATTTCCTATACTATTCTTAACTTCCCCATCTATTTTGTACCTACCAATTATGCTTCTTATTCTCTGTATGTTTTCCCCTATTCTCTCCCTCCCCACCCCCACTAATAACCTTCTATGTGATGTCCATTTCTGTGATTCTGTTCCTGTTCTAGTTGTTTGCTTAGTTTGTTTTACATCTATTATGTCTTTATTTGAATTATACTATTCACAACTATATGTCTGTTCTTAAGTATACTTATCACAATTTAATTCAATGGCTTCTATTTATCATAATTATTCAGAACAATTTTGATTAAGTGCTATGTACTTTGATACTAGGTAAGTACAAGGTAAGTGCTATGAATGAGCAATGAAGAAAACCATATTTATCATTATAACTTTTCCTTATTAACATTTTAGATATCAATTATTTGGAGATTGGGAGAGATGAAGCTATCAGGTATATAGTATAAAATGCTTAGACTTCAATTATTTAAATATAAATGTGTACCATAAGATGTGTAGTTTAAAATAAATTAGTCAACTCAATGCAATTATTATATTTGGATCAGAAAATAAACAAGATAAAAATAAGCAAAATAAAAATACCAAAGGTTTAAAACCCAAAAAACATGTTATATAAGCCATGAATGATATATAAGCACACATTTATAAGGTAGAAAACATTCATTATTTTATCAAATTTTTAAATACTTGATACATATTACTTGAACATTAAAAAAATTTGTATTCAAACTGCCAGTTAAATACCTAACTAAAAGGTATATTCAACAACATGTTTTGTAACTTCAAATCTTCTAAGAGTGAATGAACCCCAAAATAAAAGGCTGATGGTTAAGTTCAAAGTACTCATTTATTTCTGTAAGCAGGTAAGCCATCTATAATACATTAAAAAATCTATGCATAAATGATTGCCCAATATGTGGCTCTCACATCTTTAAATTTAGGTTTTCTTATAATAATCCATTGGAAGCGCATAGGAAATCAGCTTTGGAATCAAATTTCTATTCCCGAAATATGTAATTCCTCTTCCCCAACTTTGGTGGTGTCTATTATATATATGCTTGGTGTAGAAAAAACAACTTTTCCTTGTTTCCTGGTTTCTAGTTCATAAACAAAATTGACTGAACACTGTAGATGGTAATCTTAGTGTTTTGCCAGGTTTTGTCAGCCTTCCTATTAAATTGTATTTGAGATAAAGGGGAAAAAAAGAGAAAGAAAAAAAGAAAGAAAGAAAAAGAAAAAGAAAAAGGAGAAGAAAAAGAAAGTAGCCATTTGTACTGGCTATCCTTAAAATAAAATCTGTTACTAATTCAATATCAATAGAAAAATTTTACTTTTTCCCATAAATATTTTGATAAAAGGACTGTGATAATTTAAAAAGATCTATTCGTACTTATTATATTTTTCATTTCAAGTAAAAATAACTTTTAATAGAAATTAAGAATTATGCTTTTTAATTTTAAATGTTTTTAAAGATTTCCTTCCTTTTCACAAATATATATACATATATACATATATATCCATATATATGTGTATATATATATATATCAAGCAAATATCAAAACCCAAGGCTAAATTTGAAGAAAATGACTGCCATTATCTATGTCCCTAAAAATACTTAACAAATCACTTGATCATATATGGGTATTAGTAAAGAGCTAATAGTAAAGCCAGTACATATAAGGACCCAGAGGTGAGATAATATTTTACCAATAGCCAGACCTAAAAATACCGTTAAGAGCCTAATGTGTTTAACCCATGAAATGTCTCGTAATATCCATTTTAGAAAGCCTAATCAGACTTAGGCAAGCCTATTAATATCCTTAATACATATCCTTTTTGTACATGTAACTATCTTCAAAAAAAGGGTTTAAAATCTTTTCAGAGATGCTAAGATAACAAAAGAATTCAAGACTAAAACAACTCATTTACTTACACTAGTAAAAACTGTCTCAAAAAAACATGTTAATACCTATTCTGCAGTTAACAAACCATAGACTTTTACAACTTTTCTTTTCAGGAGAATTTTGGTTGGGTCTAGAGAAGATATACTCCATAATAAAGCGATCTAATTATATTTTACGAATTGAGCTAGAAGACTGGAAAGGCACCAAGCATTATATTGAATACTCTTTTCACTTGGGAAATCATGAAAGCGACTATAAACTACGCCTGACTGAGATGAAAGGAAATGTCCCAAACATACTCCCAGAAAACAAAGATTTGGTATTTTCTACTTGGGATCACAAAGCACAAGGACACTTTCTCTGTCCAGAAAGTTATTCAGGTATACTTTTCCTAATATCAATAATTTTTCTTTTATTTTCTTTTTTATAAATTATATCTTATTGATTATGCTATTACAGTTGTCCTGATTTTTCCCCCAGCCCCCCCTTGCCACCCGGCACTCCCCACTCCCTCAGGCCATCCCCCCACCATTGTTCATGTTCATGCATCATGCATATATTTTCATTAGCTATTGCACTTCCTATACTGTACTTTACATCCCTATGGCAATTCTGTAACTACCTATTTGTACTTCTTAATCCCCTCACCTCTTCACCCATTCCCCCACAACCCCTTTCCATCTGGCAACCATCAAAACTCTATCCATGATTCTGTATCCATGACTGTCTCTGTTCTTCATTTGCTTAGTTTGTTTTTAGATTCAACTGTTGATAGATTTGCATTTTTTGCCATTTTACCATTCATAGTTTTCATGTTCTTTTTCTTAAGTCCCTTTAACATTTCATATAATAATTTCATGTACACTCCTTTAGTTTACTTTCTTGTTCTGTTTTTTGTCTGGGAAGCTCTTTTTCTGTTCTTTGATTCTAAATGATAGCTTTGTTGGGTAGAGCAATGATGGCTGTAGTTCCCAGCTTTTCATGACTTTGAATAGTTCTTTCCAATCACTTCTAGTCTGCAAAGTTTTTTTTGAGAAATCAGCTGATAGTCTTACGGAAACTCCCCTGTAGGTAACTAATTTCTTTTGTTTTGCTGCTTTTAAGATCCTTTATTTTAACCTTTGGCATTTTAATTTTGGTATCTCTTGGAGTGGGTCTCTTTGCATCCGTCTTGTTTGGGGTTCTCTGTGCTTCCTAGACTTGCATATTTATTTCATTTGCCCAGTTAGGGAAGTTTTCTTTCATTATTTTTTCAAACAGATTTCCTATTTCTTGCTCTTTCTCCCCTCTTTCTGGCAACCCTATGATGCGAATGTTTGACTTTTTTTTTCCTTTTTGAGATTTTATTTATTTATCTGTAGAGGGGAAGGGAAGGAGAGAGGGAGAAATATCAATGTATGGTTGCTTCTCATGTGTCCCTTGCTGGGAACTGGCCTGCAACCCAGGCATGTGCCCTGACTGGGAATTGAATCGTGATCCTTTGGTTTGCAGGTCCATGCTCAATCCACTGAGCTACACTAGCCAGGGCTAACATTCGACTTCTTGAAGTTGTCCTGGAGGCTACTTATACTATCCTCATTTTGGGGGGAGGGGGATTCTCTCTTCTTTTTATTGTTTTGATTGGTTGTGCATTGCTTCCTTATGTTTCAAATCATTGATTTGATTCTTGGCTTCATCCACTCTACTGTAGTTTCTCTATAAGTTGTTATTTCAATTATTGAACCCTTCATTTCTGACCAGATGTTTTTTATGATGTTGAGGTCTTCACTAAGTTCCTTGAGCATCCTTATAACCAGTGTTTAGAACTCTGCATATGATAGATTGCTATCTCCATTTTGTTTAGTATGTTTTCTGGAGTTCCCATCTGTTCTATCATTTGGCCATATTTCTTTGTCTCCTCATTTTGGCAACCTCCTGTGTTTGTTTCTATGTATTAGGTAGAGCTGCTTTGACTTCCTGTCTTGGTAGCATGGCCTAATGTGGTAGGTGCCTTATAGGGACCAGTGATGCAGCCTCCCCTATCACCCAAGCTGAGTACTCAAGGTATGCCCTTCATGTGGGCCAATGACACCCTCCTCTTGCAGTTAAGCCTTGGTTGCTGTTGGCAGGTCAATAGGAAAGATTTATCCAGGCCAGTCAGCCACAAGGACTGGCTGTGACCCCTTAACACCAACCTCTGCCCTTGGTGGAGGATCAGCTGTGCAGCATAGGGCTGTTGTGCTCTAACATTATCTATAGCTGTCCAATGGGTGCACTGACCCTGGGATTTCCCAGGTGGTGCAGGCCAAGCTCACTACCCATCTGTGTTTTGCCTGGGGCCACCCTGCCTGAGCTACAAAGCAATCTGAGGTAGCTGCTACTTTTGCTGGGCTTAGAGATTCTCAGGCAAAGCCAAACTACGAATCCAGCTGGCTGCTGCTAGTGCCATGCCTGGGGCCACACTGATGCTTGTTTGAGAGGATTTACGAAGCTTAAGCCAAGAATAGCCATTCACATGGAAAAGCAGTTTGGGTAGGCCCAGAAGCTGGCTGGGGCAGAGTCTCTGGGGATCTCCATGGTGGGTCAAACAGTGTAGCCAGGTTGATGGAGTCTCAGATACGGCACCAGTTTGCTGGCTCTGTTGGGGGGAGGGTTTAGAGATGGGACCTTGGCCTCTGCTTGCCTTCATGTCAGACAGTTCAGTTTCTTCCTTATACCATCAGATCCTTTCAAACTGTCACCCTGATGCTAGAGCTCAGACAGGGTGAGTCTTGAGTCTGAGTAGTTGATTTGTGTGTAGGTTCTTTAAGGGGAACTGCTTGGGGCTTCAGCGGCTTCTTCCACCAACTCAATCCCCAATGGTTTTTGCAACCAGAAGTTGTGGAGACTTACCTTCCTCTAACTGGAACCCTGGGTTTGGCAGCCTGGTGTGGGGCTTAGACTCCTCACTCCTGAAATATCCCAAATTTTATCCATTACACATGGTTGAGACCAGCCCTTTCTGTGTCTGGGACAATCCAACCAGACTGGATACCTATATGCCACATATAATATATACGTATATGTGTGAGAGTGTGTATATATATATCTATATATATATATATATAGATATATATATATGGTTTCTTGAGTTCTGTAGGATTCACACTTCCATTCAACTCAATTTCTGATGGTCCTAAGTGATCATTATGTTATATTTTAGTTGTAATTTTGATGTGGTTGTACAAAGAGGCGAGCCATGTCTGCGTGTGCCACCATCTTGACTGGAAGTCTCAATACTTTGTTTTTCTGTGTTCATACTAACTTCCCTAAGTATTAGCTAATATCTACAATGTCAACTCTTTAAAAGCTGAATTCCAAATAAACATATTTTTCTATAGATAAAGATATCTTAAGTGTTAATAAAATTCTATTTTAATTCAAGTAGGTATTTTGCCTTTAACCTTGCTCAGATATTTTATTCTTGTGAGACTTGTATAGATTATTTAAAATAAAGATGTATCATATAACACTGTCATATTTTATAAGAAATGAGGACATATAATATACTAATGGGGAAATACAATAACAATATCCTCATATGAGTTTGTATCCATTGAATCGTATATCTATCTTCTTTAGGAGGCTGGTGGTGGCATGATGTATGTGAGGAAAACAACCTAAATGGTAAATATAACAAGCCAAGAGCAAAATCTAAGCCAGAGAGGAGAAGAGGAATATGTTGGAAGTCTCAAAATGGAAGATTATACTCTATCAAATCAACCAAAATGCTGATCCGTCCAACAGATTCAGAAAGCTTTGAATGAGCTAAGGCAAATGAAAAAACCAATAAATTACACATTAAAACCTTTCCAAGTTACTGTGGTTTAATAATATGATATTCAAGCTCTAGTAGAAGCTTTAGAAAAAGATTATTTTAAAGCCGCTATCAATTTAAGATTAAATATGTCATCACATCATTTAAAAGAATACCATTTACCTTCTCAAATTCTTACAATATCATTTATTTCTTTATTTTGTGATAAGAAAATTGATTTTAGATGTCACAATTCTAAATTTCAACTAATGGGGGAATTTTTAAATAACTGTTTTAAATAAAAAACTTACAAAGAGTCTTCTATTTTAAGTCAGCATGTGGGCTAATTTCACAACTTCCCAGGTTATAAAAAGACTAGTTTTCTTGATAAAATTCTAAACTTGAATAAAAATAAAGAACTAATAATTGTATAGGTCTCTAATGCTATAATGCTATTACTTCAAAAACAAATTTTATTCAATTCATAGTACATATGAAAACCTATAATATGAATTTTTAAACTGATGCTTAATTTTGCTATAAAATAATTTGGAGCAAATGTTTTACATGCTTTACTTGTAAAGTGGGATGAAATACTGTACTGAAATACACTCACTATTTTAAATTCAGTAGATCATGATTACTAACTCATATTGACTTTTATATCAGGTTCCACTGTACCTTAACATAAATTTTCTAACTTATCTATGATGTACACGCTTTATATATTTTAAAACTTGACTACTGTGGAAAAAACACTTTAAGGGATCTTATCGGAACACATTAACAATGAGTGTATTTGTGACATGAAGTTAAAGTTTAATAATTTATTCCCTGACATGGTGTGAGTCTAATACTTATGTGTAGCTTTTCAAGTAGATTAAAAAGCACTCAATTTCTTCACTGTTTAAATAGCCTGAAATATGTGGATGTGTGTTTCCAAATTCAATAACAACTCAGTCCTCTAAATCATAGAAATTTAAATTCTTGTAGTTTTTTAAATTTATATCTTATAGAAGTATGACTTATTTCTAATTTAAATAACTTAAATTCTAAGTCAAGGATTGTTAGATATAAACATTCTGACAACAGTATCACTTGTCAGTATTAATTTTAAATAAGTTTTTAAAGAAATTACCAAAGAGAAATAGAAATTTGAATTAAAAAATTGAATTAAATCCAAATATTAAAGGATACAGTGCCAAAGTTATACACTGACTCACTCACTTTAGTTAATAAATGTTCAGCATTATTTATTTTAAATTATCCAGCATGTAAGTATATGTGATATATAAAAACTATCTGACATATAAATATGTATGATCTATGTGGATCCTAAGTAAATATTTTGTACCAAAAAAAGCACAAAAAGAATATAGGGAGAAATAAGTTTTAGTTTTCAGAACCTCACCCAAACCATCAAAATTGACTTTTTAGAGCCAGAATACCAAAATAGCTTTCTTTAAAAAAAATTTGAAGATTTCAATTGCAAAATAATGTATTATTTAATATACCAATTACTTCTTCAATTTGTTTTTCAATTCTTTACAATTCTCAAACAATATGTTCATTTTGTTCCTTTTGAGAGTTCTGTTAGTTTTTTTCTCCTTTAAGTATAAAGCTCAAATTGAGAGATAATTCTGGTAAAGAGCAAGAATCTTTTTGTTTATTGTTCACAAAATCGTTTCTACCCATCCTCAGTAGTTTGCCAAAAGTGTTTTAATTTCACCACTGACTCACAATCGTCAAATGTAAAGCCCTTTTCTCAGTACACATACCCTACTACCTACTAATAAAAACATTCTTTACCTAATAATAACAACATTCTTTTCTCAAACTTGACCTTCATTTTGCTTCCAAATATTACAACACTCTTTGAGGATTATCCATAACTTGAATCCATCTTTCTAGTTCTATTCCTTCTTAGTAGTTAGTATTATGGGCCAATGTAAAATATTCAATCATCTCTTCTACTCTGACCTTCAGAAACTCAAATTTACTCTCACAGATTCATTTATTTTCCATGAATATAGTTCCTACATCTGCATATTATTTCCAGATCTTCCTCCAATTCTCGTTCTTACATTGCCTATCTGCCATTTCTCCTTTTAATATCCTAGCCTACTCAAAACCAACATATCAAATAACAAACTCATCAATACCTTACAGCTGCTGCTGGTCCGTCCTCCCTTATTACCTTATCCCACTCTCCTTCTTACCGCCTTATATCCATTAATGGCACTATCACCATCCTTCCCAGTCACAGAAGCTTAAAACCCAAGAAACATCTCTGGCTTTTCACTTAACTGCGTAAACTACCTCTCCGACATCACAAGCCACTAAATCCATTACAATTTTCTTTTGAAAAAGTCTCTTAATCTGATATGCTTTCTTCCCATTTCTACTACCAAAAACCTACTAAGAACTGCCTTTAACCTGAGTCTTAAAATTATCTAAATAGTTTCCTGCCTGGGCTCCTACTTTTATGTCTATTTCCCCTCAATCATGCTGAAACAAATTTGTAACAACTGTATAATACTTCAACATGTGTCACTCAAATTTGTCTATTAAAAGAGTATAACCATCAAGGAAAATGAAAACATATTGTTATCGATTCTCCAGTTATAAGATAAAATGGCTTGATTTAAACATCTTGATTTTAGAATCTCACTAGGATTTTATCTTAAGTTTTAGAATCTTATCTTAGAATTGCATGTGTTTTCCACTCCACAAATCTATCTTCATATAAAAAGTTATTTCCTCCCCAAATCTTCTAAAAAGCAATGTTCCTGGAAGATATATAATGTCTATCCTGTGGACTTGCATACCCCATGTAGCTGTGCCTTCAAAAGAACATGTACCCCAATTAAAAGAGCATAAGCCTACAGAGTGAAATCCAAATCTCTTCCAGGTACTCAAGGGTTTTTATAATCTGACCCTTAATTCCTTTTTAACTATTTTTGGCCCAACACAATCCCTCAGGCCTCATCAAAATTATCCACTTTTAACCATTCCCTATGTAATTTACTAATGCCATTCCGATTGTCAAGAATGCCTACCCAGATCCTTCTGCTTGACTAGGTCCTATTAATACTTCTAGGTATAAATAATCTCACTTTTCCCATACATATCTAGTAAATAAATGAAGGCTCCTTCCTCTGAAACCCTGCAGCATTACTGTTTGTACTCCTCAGCTGATACTTGGCAAATGAAGAAAAAACAGAAAAGGAAATCTGGCAAAGTAATAATAAAAATTTTGAGGAAAAAGTAATGAAAATTCCAAGAACAAAGATGGTCAATCTACTTGATTTTAATGAATTATAGTAGTCCCTCCCTTTTGTCTGTGGTCTTGCTTTCCATGATTTCAGTTATCCATGCTCAACTGTAGTCCAAAATAGTAAATGAAAAACTTCAAAAGTAAACAATTCTCTAGTTTTAAATTGTGTGCTGTCCTGAGTAGCATGATGTACCACATCGTCCCACTTCAACCTTCCTGAGATATGAATATCCCTTTGTCCAGCGCCAACAAGCTGTATATGCTACACACTCATTAGTCACTGAGTAGCAGTCTAAGGGATCAGATTTATTGTGTGTAGTAGGTAACAGTGGTACCACTTATTTTGCATAATAATGTTCTCAAAGCACAAGAGTAGTGATGTAGGCAATTAGGATATGCTAAAGCCTCAAAGTGTTTCCTTTTAGTGAAAGGTGGAAGTTCTAGACTTGGAATGAAAAAACATAGTCTGAAATTGCCAAACTATAGTAAAAAAAAAAAAAGGTCTATCTGAAATTGTGAAGAAAAAAGACATTTGTGTTAGTTTTCCTCTAACACCTCAAAATGCCCAAGTTACAGCCCCAGTGCATGATAAATGCTGAGATAAAATGGAAAGGGCATTAAATTTGTTACTGGAAGACATGACATCAAGGTGGCTCAATGATCCTCCTTCTGATGTACTGCCAGAAGGTCAACAGTAGCCTTAACACTATGTCACCATGTCTACGTCATTCACCTCACTTCATTTCATCATGTAGGCATTGTAACATCACACATCACCAAGAGAAGGGTGAGAGTACAATAAGATATTTTGACACAGAGAGGGATACCACATTCACATAACTTTTATTATAGTATATTGATTGTTTTAATTGCTCTAGTATTGGTTATTGTTAATCTCTTGCTCTACCTAATTTCTAAACTAAACTTTAAAATTGGTATGTATATATAGGAAAAGACAGTATATAGTAGGTCCTTGAATAACACTGTTTCATTATAACATTGATGACATGCTATAGAAATTTAACTCTTGTTTATATCAATTAGGCTATGATAAAATTGGTTTGCTATATGTCATTTCACTTAAAGTCACAGAACCTATCAACAACATTAAGTGAGAACTTACCACGTAGGGTTTGTCACTACCAGGGGTTTCAGGCAACCCCTGGGGGTGTTGGAACAAATCCCCTGCAAATACAGGGAGACTACTGTATTGCAAATTTTCTACAGCAAAATTTATTCTATTTTACTGAGAGCAAGTATACATATTTCCTCTTTCAGGGTTACCTATTTTAGTAAATCTATTTACCTACTCTCTCTCAACCTAGAATCAACATGTTTTCATGCCTATATCTTTCCTTTCAATAGTGTAACTCATAGATATCAATTAATTCATTCATTAATCAAAAATGCATTCATTAATCTGTATTTATTGAGTACCTGCTATTTGCCTCCTTTATGAAACCTGGTCCAAATATGTATTGTTATATATTCTACTTTTTGCTATAGAATAATCAAATTTCCTTGTTTTTCTTCCATATCACTAACAACAATAAGCAATTTTCAAAATTCAAAAGTGAGCTAACAGTTAGTTAGCCTTTTTATCAAATTGCAAAGTGTTCTTATGGAAAATTAACTAGGTCAAAATTACTCAATTGGTATGAAATATGCAGTTCAAGGTCCTGCAAGTATGATTAACAGTCTCCCAAAGTAAGCCTTTACAATGAGATTACAATAATCTTTTTCAAAATTAAAAAAAAAATCAAGAATAAAAACTACTC